GGCCAAATATAGTGGCCTTAAAGAGCCAGTAATTGATAAAAAGATAATCAAGGAACTCTAATGACTTGTCAACAGCAAGAAAATATGGCCGACATTCAGGCCTTTAAAGCCAAATTCATGGCTTTCAACAAAGAATGTAAAGAGAAGACAAAAGAAGAAGTAGCATTAAAGACGTTGAGAAACAAATTATTAGTGTTCGAATTGGAGCAGAATATTGACTAAGAAGTCAATAAGGTGTATTGTTTAGAAGAAGAGGTGCCTACAAAGAACCCAGACGATGAAGTAATGAAGATTACAAAGCCCGGGCATGCTCAAGTACAAGACCATTTGATAAAGGTGAATATTACGAAGGGGAAGATCGCCCAACATTTGTCAGCCAGATGCTTAGTCAAGAGGTAAGTAATAACTTAATCGCTTTATTAAAATAATACAATGATTATTTTGCTTGGGAATATGAACACATGTTTGGTTTAGATAAAAGTTTGGTAGACTAAGCCAAATTTTAAATCACATAAACAACCTCTTAGGCGTTTCGCCCATAATGTATTGCCTGAAGTAAAGAAATAAATAGAGCGACTGTTAAAAGCAGGTTTTATTAGAACAGCAAAATATGTTGAGTGGTTGTCTAACATTGTGCTAATGTTAAAAAAGAATGGTAGTATAAGGGTGTGCATAGATTTTAGAAATTTAAATTTAGCAACACCCAAAGATGAATATCCAATGCCTATGGTGGATTCTTTAGTAGATTCAACTGCCGGACATGTAATGTATTCTTTTATGGATGGATATTCGGGATATAACCAAATTTACACAGTTGAAGAAGATGTACATAAAACTGCCTTTAGGTTTCCTGAGGCTTTAGGATGCTTTAAATGTGTAGTTATGTCTTTTGGTCTAAAAAATGCAGGGACAACTTATCAAAGGACAATGAACCTAATTTTTCCTGACATGATAGGAAAATTTGTTGACGTGTATGTAAATGACATAGTGGTCAAATCTATTAAAGAGGAAGACCATTTTGAACAATTAAAACACTCATTTGAGCGACTGAGGCAGCACAAATTAAAATTGAATCCTTTGAAATGTACATTTGGTGTTAATGCAGAGAATTTCCTTGGTTTTCTAGTGTACGAAAGAGGAATTGAACTCGATAAAAGAAAGCGATGGCCATTTTAGAGGTCAAGCTGCTTGGTAATAAAAAAGAATTGTAAAGGTTTTAAGGTCAAGTAAACTTTTTGAGACGCTTTATCTCTAATTGTGTAGGGCAAACGAAAGTTTTTTTTACCACTTTTAAAGCTGAAAAATCAAGATTAGTTTGTCTGGAAAGAAGAACAACAAAAAGGCTTTTGATAGCCTAAAGACATATTTGTCAAGTCCGCCAGTATTATTATCACATATCCAAGGACGGCCAATGAAGTTGTACGTATCGGCTAAACAAAAATCGATAGCTGGAATGGTCAAGCAAGCAGATCAATTTGGTGAAAAGTTGAGCAGACAGTTAACTATTTGAGCAGACAGTTAACGAAATATGAATGATACTCTGCTATCGAAAAGTTGTGTCTCGCGTTGTATTTCACATGTACAAAATTAAGGGTTTATTTACGGCCTGTAACCGTTTACTTAGTTTCTAAAGTAAATTTAGTTAAATATATGTTTTCTTGCCCTATTTTACACCAAATGATAGGTCTTTCGATTTTGACATTATCGGAGTTTGAAATATAATATATACCCCAAAAGACAGTTAAAAATCAAGCGTTAGCTAACTTTTTAGCCGATCGTCCATGTGCCTAAAGAAATTGAATTAGAAATTGATTCATTTGAATTAAAACAATGGGTTTTATACTTCAACGGATCAAAAACTTCTAGAGGTGCAGGGGTATGAATAGTTTTAATAAATCTTCTATGGGTTTGTTATAAATTTGCTTTCACTTTGGATAGAATGTGTACTAATAATCAAGCCGAATACAAAACATTGATCGTAGGCTTAGAGCTGTTAACAGAATTGGGAATAAATAATGTAATTATTAGGGGCAATTCCCAATTAGTAATCTACTAATTCATTGGTGATTTTAAATGTCAAAGTGATTTTGTCATAAGTCAATATGAAATCGCCCAAAAATTATTGGAAGAGTTTGACCAAGTGGAGCTTCGATACGTTAACAGGATGTATAAAGATCTAGCAAACGAATTAGTCCAAATGGATTGGGTTATTCAAAGGTGCTAGATTTGGAATCCACTTGCGAATATGGAGTAATATTGTCCGTTGTACAAAGGAGAGCAGAAGGATTAAGATTCATTGCATACAAAATGGAGATGCAATAGATTGGGGGACGGAGAGGGATTTCTAATAAATTCGAAATCTTAGCACGATCAAAAATCACCTTATTGAGGCCATGATTTGTCATACGTGCATGCCGAAGGCAGAAAGTAGTATCAATTTTTGGCCAAATGCGAATACATTTCTCGCGGATTAGCTTCAGCGGAAGAGGGTTCAAAAAATGAGGATCTAAAGTGCAAGGGAATAGCTGGCCCATCGCTGCCTGCCTAACAGATTCAACATCATTAAATGACGGGCCTAAGCATAACTCATTGAGCTCAGGGTTGGCTGGTGAAAGGGAAGCTAGATTTATATACGGCTTGGTGAGGTGGTTTTGGAAATCTTCAAAACTAAGGGAGTTGTCGGAAGAGCTCTGAGAAGTCGCCATTCACTACAAGTTACAATCTTCATGAGGGTTTGTGAGAAGTGTAGTAGAGAAGTAAGAAGATGAACAGTGGTCTTTATAGGGAAAAAAAAGCGCGTGATGCGAGACGTGGGTATAATGGCACGATGAAGTAGCCTGTTATTTGGTTTATAGGAGTTGTGTGATATTACACTTTTTTAGGACGTAAAGGGTCACTGCCAAATGAAAATAATGATTGGGATTCTCCGCTCTTTTTTTGGGATTTCAAGCATCGTAGAAAAATATAAAGGAGAAATAATTGATATTAATTTTACTATATTGGGGGGTAATTATTGACATACAAAAATGAGGCCCAACTAAATGGTCCAAAGAATGAAGCCCAGTTAGGAGATTCAAAAGATGGACCCAAACAAGACCATATAAAACCCAAGACGAAGTTATGCAATGGAGGCCCATCATCGCTCAAGCCCACGAGTCGCCCAAATGCCCAAGATCTGGGCAAACCTATCATCTCTCAAGCCTGTGAGATGCCCAAAATTTGGGCAAATATAGTGTTTCGATTGCTATTCGAAACAACTGTTATTGAAGCAGTTAATGGGTAATCTTATCACATTCCAGATCCAAGAATCTCGGTTACAAGAAGTTAAGCGATGTGAGTAATGGCAACAGTTGAAAACAGTAATTTCTTAACAAGTCATCCATCATAGAGAAAGTGAGTAGTTACAGGGCGATGAGCAATTTTTCAAACGGTTCCACAAGAAAAACTATCAAATGAGTATAAAAGAGAAAGAAGAATTTAGAAGGGATGATTAAAACCAATGTTTTAAAAATTGACCTAGGCATCGACCCGAAAAAGAGTAAAGGTCAAGGGTCGAAAGGTCGAACCAGGGTTGAACCAGGATCCACAAAAAATCATCAAATGAAAGCAAGTTTTTTAAAATCACAAAAAGTCAAAAACTATAACAGGAACACATAAATGACATACACGGTACATGATTCATACTTCAAAAAATGCCAACACTCCGCTCTTTAATGGAGAAAAGATATTATTATTTCTGCAAAGTTGCAGGTCCAAGGTATTCATTCATATGTAATGCTATTGATTATAAAACAAACAACTGTTTTGGTAATTGCAGAATGCTACAGAAACAAAAAAAAAATGGCACAAGCTATATAGGATTTTAAAACTGCCAACCTTTCAATGTTTTGGAATCTAACGAGAAATTTAACCTTACCCGAAGAATTGAAAAATGAAAACTTAAGTCAAGAGTCTTCAAAAAGAAGATGGTCTTCACTCTTCAGGGCAGTCGGCAACTGGGCATAAAGAAATGAGGAGACAACATAGAAGAAGGAGAGGAGACGACATAGAAGGAGGAGGAGAAATGGAGAATTTTGAAAGTCTGAAGGGTTTCAATTTTCAAACGTTTCAGGCTTTGAACCGGCCCAACCGTATAAACTGGGTACAGGTCAAGGGTTTTATGAAAATCGGGCGGGCCACCGATTTTTAAGGCAGGTTTCAATTTTCAGATTTTAATCGCCTAACCAACCAGGTTTTGGACTCGATTCCCGATTTATTCGATCAAACCGGCCGGTCCGGGTCGGTTTTAACAACATTGATCAAAACGACTCTCAAATAGAGAATTATGTAATTTTATTTCTTCTTGTTAACTTTCAATGACTTTGCAAATTCAGTGTGCTTGTGCCTCTTTGAGGCATTTCGCTTCTTGTGAATTGTAATCTTCATAAATAAAACATCCATCGTTGGAACTTTGTCTCTAGAGGTTGTTGTTCCTTACACAATCGTTTGAACTTTCTTTTAATTGTTAGCGATGCTCGATTTCCACGCGAAACAGTAGCTGTCAATGATTAACTTATTTTTTTAAGTAGACATAACAATGAATTCAACGGACTCGAGAAAATAATTTTACTTTAACGTATATCAAATTTATTGAAATAAAGCTTATTGTATTGTTGTAGCAGTTGAATCAAAGACTCCACATTGGAAAAATGCTTGGATTTGTGGTCGGTTAATGTTTGAAACATTTATACTTTTTGAATAGAACATCAAGAAACGTAGTACACTAATTCTTGGAAAAGGAAGGGTATGAAGAAGATAAAGAGACTACAATTATCACTTGAATTAGATTCAAATTTTATGTATATAAGTAAGATAAGCGTTCTTTCTGTAAATTATGTAAAACAAAATAAAAAAAAGTGAATATTTACAAGAAAGGATCAAGATAGCTAGAGGCCAGGTTATGCATGTATATAAACAGGTGGTTTGAGAAATAATTGTTTTTCCCTATAGATGCTAACACATTAGGCTCGAGGGGCACGCCTGGGTCGGACACGGACCTTAAGTGGGTTAGCCATTTCACAAGATAGCCTTAGCATTTCGGAGAGTTCTACGTTGTTTTGACTACAATGTCCAAACTCGAACTCATGCAAAAGAGAAGCAACCCAAAATGTGACTGTGGTCAGGCCTAAGGTCTTACCGGGGCAAGTCCTCCGACCCGACCCAAATGGCGCGAGTCTCAAATTCGAACCCATCACTGAGAATTCCATGATATTATTCTGAGTTAAAAATCTGTCTGGGTTAAATTTCAATGGTTCTTTCCAAACTTCTGGATCTCTAGTTATTGCCCACATATTCACCATGGCAGTAGTTCCAGCTGGCACATGATATCCATCGATATTTGAGTCTAGAATCGCCGAGCGGGCCCACGAGAGAAGTGGGCCTGGCGGGTGCAATCTCAATACTTCCTTCACCACGGCCGCTAAATACACCATTTCTGTTATATGGGACTCGGTCACAGCACTCGACCTCCCCACAACCTTGTCCAATTCATCATGAACCCTTGCTTGAACATCAGGGTGCAACACCATTCTTGCCAATATCCACTCAATCAAAACTGCCACAGTATCAGTTCCTCTAAATATCATTTCCTGCAACAATGAATAAAATCTTGTTATATACACGTCCAATTTTACTTTCGAAACATGCACTTAATTCTACTGGATTACTATATACGAAACATGCACCAGACATAAATGATTTGCTTACCCAAAGTACGGCAAGCATGTCGGAATCAGACAATCTATCAGGCTCTTGAAGAGACAGCAAGACATCCAAGAAATCACGGTGGAGCAGGGCGGTTTCTGCCTTGCGCTCGTCAATAATCCGGCGAAGAGACTGGTTTACTCTGGCGGCCAGCTTGGAGCACCTGAACCGGATTTTCTGTACGTCAAAATCAGCAAACGAAGGAAGATGATCTGACCAATTTAGTGTACCCAACAACTCGTACCCTTCATCTACCAATTCTCTGAACTCCTCCATCTTAGCATCACGAGAATCCAGCTTGTACTTTCGTCCAAATACAGAGTACATCATGTTATTAAGGGATGCTAATTTCAGTGAATCCCGAACACGAATATCACCTTTTCGCGCTCGAAATATTGCCACTATCTGATTAGCAATTTCCAACCTTTGAGTTTCCGAAGCCTTAATCTGTTTCGGGCAGAAGAGGTGGGTGGCAGCAATTCTTCTAAGTGTTCGCCAGTAAACGCCATAGGGAGCAAAACCAATAGCCCTGTTGAACATAAGGCAGTAGGCGGATTCTTTCACCGGGCGATCAGCAAATGCAGAACTGTTCAAGATTTCTTTTGCTACATCGGGATTGCAAGTGACGATTACTCGTGTTTCACCCAGGCTAAACGCCATTAGACGTTTGGCCTGGAAGGATTGAGCCATGGCTGCAATTTTTTGGTGGGCTAAACCCATCATGAGTTTCATACTCCCAATAATTGGAGCACCCTTTGGACCAGGAATAGGTTTGTTAATTGGGATTGAACTGAATTTTCTCCATTTGTGTTTTCCCCAAGCAGGGCCGCCTGGATGTGCCCAGAAAATCAAATTTTTGGCAATCCACGTTAGGACCAAGAGTAATGTAAAACATGCGAAGTTTGTGGAAAATAAGGATTTGAATTTGAAGGCTAGGGCGAAAACCCAAAAGCTTTCCACGTTTGTTTTCATAATTGGGTAATTTGAGGCTAAGAATGAGGTAGACAGTGAGAAAGGCAGCTTGCTTTGATCAGTTTGATGTGTGGAATGAGGTTGGTCGGTTTATATAGGAAGCGAGCAAGTGAAAATTTGAAGAAACATAGTATTACTGTGTTAGTAGGATGACCTTTAACCTTAAAATTATCACTACGTAACTCTGCAGTGCGTGCGTATCTACGGCTCGCTGTGTGTCTCCCACATATGCACTGCTATATATATTCGTGAAAATTAAAATCAGATTTTTGGCTAATTTTGATAAAAGATAATAAAATGTATATCTGAAAAGTAGTTCTATTAAATATGTGGTTAAAATTAATTATCGATTTTAACTTTGATAAAAATTTAGATTAAAATTTCTACCAAACGGGGGCATGGTGACACAGTAAAATCTCACCTTCTATTTCAGAAAATGACTTGCAATTGTGGGGCGGCCCGAGGGGAGTTTAAAGATCTCGATTACTAATTTTTTTTTTTTTGGTCACTCCATCTCTTCAAGTAATTTTTGTTATTAGATAAATGGAATCATCTATTTTAATTGATTGATGGAAAATACAATTCGAAAGTACAATTATTATTTTAAAAATTTTGGAGTGTAATGATTTTTGGAAAACAAATTTAGGGTGTGTTTGAGCCACATTATTTTGGAAGAATGTATTTTAAAATAGTAAATTGATGGAGAATGTCTGATTGAAAAAGAAAGAAAAATTATTGATGTAATGGAAAATATTATTTTATTGAAAAATGTGTGATTGAAAATAAGTAAAAGAATGAAAATGAAAATTTTAATGTTGTTCGAACATGAGCTTAGAAGTATAATAATTATTAAAAAAAATTCAAATTAAGCTATTGTTAGGAAACACTAATCAAAATTTGAAAGTATAGTAATTATTGGAATTTTTTACCCAATTATGATACTATTCTAGCTTGGCTTTCTTTCCTACTGAACCTCCAAGAAAGGTATCTCGAAATATTCTAAACGTCCTTCTAATGCTTAAATTTAGTCTATGTTTGAGCCACATTATTTTTTCATTATCATTCTTTTACTTATTTTTAACCACACATTTTTCAATAAAATAATTCTTTAATCACATCAATAAATTTTCATTCTTTTTAAACCACATATTCTCCATCACATAAAAAAATGCATTTTTGATTGATAATGTGCACCAAACAGGGGCTTAAAGTAGTCAAAATACAGTGGTAGCAGTGATTAAATAAAATAATTGTGTACCTTAAAATATTTTAATTTAATAAAAATTTATAAATTATATTATTGAAAAATTGATAAAAATTGTTGATCTTATTTTAACGTGGTTAAAATTAATTATTGACTTTAACATCAACACATTAACAATTTTTTAATTAAACCAAACAAGTACTTAGACATTCCATGTATACAATTTCTTTAAACCCCAATTTTCGTATATAGGGGGTGTCAACAATAATGTACAAGTAACTTAATTCTTTTCGTAAAAATAGATTATTTTTTTCTTAGATTTAATTTTACAGAAATTGTGGAAGAACTTTCAATCATAGTACATGTACATTATTCTTTACATTTTTATTTACACTTTTACATATGGCGCAATCACATTTTTTGATTTTTTTTTAATTACTTTTTTACATTACTGTCCAAATTGTCCCACATAGGGGGATGTCATGATGATATGAAGCAAGATCCACATATAAACTAATTCAAGAACTTTTGACATAAGTTTGAGAGCTAGAGGACTAGATCGATATTGACTCTCTAATATATATTTATTAATTTATTTATTTACTTTTTTTTTCAATATAGCCCCTATTTAGGGTCCGTTTGATTGTAAGGGTGGAAAATTGGTGGAAAGAAAATGAATTACAGGGAAAGTAATTGTCTAAAAATTGTTTTATAGGGAATTGTTAATTGAGTGTGTTTGATTGGTATAATTTTCCACTCGAAAAATTTTTAAATTTTGTATTTGTTTAGCTTTGTTTTACATGGAAATTGTCCAATAAAGTGATAATTTTTTCCACAATTGGTTATAAAATTTGTTTTCATTGCCAAAAAGTAAAAAAAACGAAATTTTTTTCCCTAAAAAATATTTTTTTAATCAAAGTTTAGTGTTCGTTTGACTTTATTTTACATGTAAATTGTCCATTAAAGTAATTTTTTTTTTAAATATAATTGGTTATGAAATTTGTTTCCATTACCAAAAAAAAATTTAAAAAAAAAACATTGGATCAAATTTCCCACCAATTCCTTGAAAAGGAGGAAATGGTGCATGTGTGGGCTCAAAATGGGAAAGGAATTCCTTGAAAAAAAAAATGGTATCAAACATGAAAAATGTTGGAAAATGGAATTCCATTTTCCATGGAATTGGAAGCCTATCAAACACACATTTAGTATAAGGGTCTGTTTGATATGCAATTATTTTCCATGGAAAATGAAAAACAAATTCCAACTTTCATTTTTGCCTTATTTGATACATTTTTTTTCCATGAAAAAAACTTTCTTGGTTTGGCTCACATTCTCACATTTTCCTTGGTTTTGTGGAAAATCAACTTCCACCAATTTGGTAGAAATTGATTTTCCAACTTTTTTTTTGGCAATTGAAAAAATTCTAAACACAATAGTAAAAAAATTTATCATTTTTATTGACAATTTTCATGCAAAACGAATGATATTCGGTATGTTAATTTTTTTATTTTTTATTTTTTATTTTTTTTTGCAATTGAAACAAATTTTAGACCCAATAGTAGAAAAAATTATCACTTTAATGGACAATTTTCATAAAAATGAAGTCAAACGGATACCAAACTTTCAACATTTTTCAGATGAAAAATTATATCAGTCAAACACAATTAATTACAATTCACAGTAAAACAATTTCTAGACAATTCAATTCCCTATAAAACATTTTCTTTCCACTAATTTTTCACATTTGCAATCAAACAGACCCTAACTAAAAATCAAAAAAAAAAAATTTTTGTAGAAATTAATAAAATATGTAATCAAAAGTTGTGAATTTCATGAATTATTAGCTAAAATTAATTATTCACTTTGACTTAAATTTTTATTAAAATTATTAAATTATGCCAAACAAGGACATATTTCATACATTTCAATTAATCTTGAGAATCTTAGAACATGCATCTTGACCAAATTAAAGTACATATACATTACTTGTCGCTTTGAAATTGTTTATATTAAGCTTAGCCCATGTTTGATGCAATTAAAAATTCAGATTTTAATTTAAATCAAAGTTAACGATCAATTTTTAACCACAAATTTTATCAGTGTTTTTCAAAATCTACTATAAATTTGATTTTAATCTCTACCAAATAGGGGCTTAATGAAATTTTGAGAAGGGCCAACAAAATTGCATGACTAACTAGGAAAGAGCGTGTAGCGCCATTGGCTGTGAACGCATTAGAACATTGATAATTTTTGAAAGTTTAGTGGAAGTGAAATACTATTTTAGTTAAAGATCCGTTAGGCCACAATGTCACATAATGTCGGCAATATTTGTCATTTCGCATGTTTTGCTACCAAAAATGGCAAATAAGTTTGGCTCATTTAAGTCCACTAGCTTTACAATTATTAATCTATTAGTTTCAATACTAAATTAATGATTTTTAAGTAATTTTCAAATTATATAGTAGACATAGTTAGGGATCAAAAATTACAAATATTTTAATTTTAATTCATATAAAAGAACCAAGTATTTGATTACGTATTTAGGAGTAAGTTTCCTTTTAGTTGATTGAATAAATTTTGAAATTAATAATATTATTATAATCAGAATACAAAATAAGTAAGTTATTTATTTTAATAAGGGAAAATTGCAGTCGAGGTACCAAATATTTCAGTTATTTGCAGACTTTACCCAAGCCTTTAATTTGTACCACCCATAGTACCAAACATTTAAAAAAATCCTAGCTCAAGTCCAAAATAATGGTTTCCGTTAGTTTGATCCCAAACGTCGTTAGTTGACCTAGAAATTAAAAATCTAATAATTTTCTCGAAATAAGTTAATGACATTTTGGACATAATACATTTCCTCTATTAAATTTAAAAAAAAAACTACAACCACCCACCCCACCCCTATCTCCTTCTTCCCCAAGTTGCAGAACCCAAAATCAAAGCAACCTGCCGTCGACTACCACCACCTCAACGTCAGCCCCAATGCAGCCTTGGAGGTCGCTTCTTTGATTTGGTCGGCCAACACAATGCCACCGTAAATGATAGCAGAGATAGATGCCAAAGTGTCGGAAGGACGGGTTTTATAGATGGTGGACGATGACTTCCGATGTTGTCGATGCAAGAACATGAAATGGGTATCTTGATAAAGAGTTCCGCAAGCAGGATGTGATTTTCAACGCCAAGGTAGGAGTTGTCGATGGCATTGGCAAGGAGGAGAGAAATAAGGTCGGCGGAAAAAATGGAGGCGAGTTCGAAAACTTTGAGGTCGGTGTAGTGGGAATAGCCGACAAATTGTTACGATAAATTCAAAAAAAACCCCACAAATAATTTCATATAAAAAAAAATAAACACATTTGCTCATATGGGATGTTCTGAATTAGAGAGAAGAATAAGAAATAGAAGAAAGAAGAAATGAGTATACAAATTTGTATGTATAATTTGTCGGGTGTGTAAAGCAGTATTGAGAATGGGGTTGTCTGGTTCTGCAACTAATTGTTACGATAAATTCAAAAAAAACCCCACAAATAATTTCATATAAAAAAAAATAAACACATTTGCTCATATGGGATGTTCTGAATTAGAGAGAAGAATAAGAAATAGAAGAAAGAAGAAATGAGTTTACAAATTTGTATGTATAATTTGTCGGGTGTGTAAAGCAGTATTGAGAATGGGGTTGTCTGGTTCTGCAACTTGAGGAAGAAGGAGATTGGGGTGGGTGGGGTGGGGTGGGGTTGTAGATTTATTTTTTGTTTTTTTTATTTAATAAAAGAAATATATTATGTCCAAAATG